GGCCTGCACCGGACTTGCCCTGGTGTGGCTGGGAGCTCTGGCTAGACCTCAGTGGGGCTCACCTGAGAGCAGCCTGCATCACCGCATGGCCCAGTAGCTCCCAATCCAGTGATCCGGGTGGGGCTGGGGTAGCAGCCTGGGTCCATGTGTGCCAGGTGTGTATACCTGGGCTTCAGGGAGATAGGAATCGGAGTGTGGTGGAGTGGAGCAGCACCTTTCCAGCACGGTCACCACATGGGCTTGGGGAATTAGGAGAGACGGAGGCTCAGGACAGAGGCACCCAGCTTGACCTGCCTCCGAAGCACTCAGCCACCCCCTGCAGCCAGGGCCTGTGTCTCCAGTGGGCTTCACATGTGCACTGGGTTGGATATGGGAATCGGAAAATCATTTCAGGGAGCAAGACATTTGCTGGGTGAAGCTTTCAACAGGACCTGGGAATCTTTCTAAATCTACTCAGGTGACAAAGTCAGTGCCTTAGGAATTGGGGATTATGTGGCTTCTGGTGATTGCTGAACTCTTCAAAGAATATAGAACGGAAACTCAGGGAGGCAAAGCACGTTCCCTCTTTCCCTCTTGCCATCCTTCCTTCCTGGCACCCTCTTGTACCAACTTTGGGCCAATGGAACCTTTAGCCTTAGAAGCATCTTCAGCCTCCCCAGCGGAGAGAGTCAAGAATCCAAATACACAGTAGCCTGATTGGAAAGCAGGGCTGGTGTAGACAGACCGGGTGCAGATGGCTGGATATAAACAGACCAACCTGCACACCAAACCCTGTTTGGGATGAGGCTTCTAAACAGGTTTTGATTCAGTGGTGGTTTCTGAGTCTGCACAGACAGGAAACCAGAGATGGGCACAGGCACCTGGGCCGGATGCCAGGAGCCATCACTGGGCCCCGATGGGCTTGAGCGGTTGTGACCAGGTAGCAGCCAGAGCGAGCCTCCTGGGGGTGTGGGTTTCATGCCTGACCTTCTCACTCACCACCCTGCTGCACTGAGAAAGTGACCATTGATGGGAACTGGGACAGAGCGGGGCAGTGTGGGCACCCCTGCCATCCCCAGGGGCCCTGCTTGGAGGAGCCACGGATGTCTGCTGCCCACAGATGTCCTGCTTTTTTGTAGGCAGATCATGAGATCAGGAGTTTGAGATCAGCCTGGCCAACATGGTGAAACCCTGTCTCTACTAAAAATACAAAAATTAGCTGGGCACAGTTAGTGATGGCACACACCTGTAGTCCCAGCTACTCGGGAGGCTGAGGCAGGAGAATTGCTTGAACTCTCGAGGTGGATGTTGCAGTGAGCAGAGATTACACCACTGCACTCCAGCCTGGGTGACAGAGCAAGACTTCGTCTCAAAAAAATGGAATCTGGCCAGAGGCAAAGGCCACAACAGTGAATTATAAGTTTCTGGGTGATAGGTACCTCCCATGCTTCCCACTCCAGGTGTCAGGCCCTGGGCTGCAACAGAGGGACCCGCTAACCATGGGTGACACAGAAGCTGGGGCAGGGCCGGGCTGTGTCCCCTGTGGGTGTGGAGCTGCGAGCCAGGGAGTGCAGATAGGGGGAGAAACCAGCATCTTGACTTTAAAATGTCACCCTCATTTCAATAAAATTTTTAAAGTTAATTGGAAAAATCTTTCATTGAAGAGTGAAGCTTTAAAATGGGTTTCTAGATACCCTCTTCCATTCCTGCTCTACCGCCACCGTCCCATTGGCCAAGTGACTGCACAGAGTTCAAGGCAAAGCTCAACAAAGTGCTGAAGGACCAGCGGGGACCAGAACTGCTCCAGCTGCTCTGCAGCACAGGTGTACACACCCATGCAATCTGTAGCACACGTGCACACACCAGGCACTCTACAACACAGGTGTACATGCCCACGCAATCTGCAGCACACGTGCACACACTGGGCACTCCGCAGCACACATGCACACACCCACGCAATCTGCAGCTCACATGCACACACCCACGCAATCTGCAGCACACATGCACACACCCACGCAATCTGCAGCTCACATGCACACACCCACGCAATCTGCAGCACACATGCACACACCCACGCAATCTGCAGCACACGTGCACACACTGGGCACTCTGCAGCACACATGCACACACCCACGCAATCTGCAGCTCACATGCACACACCCACGCAATCTGCAGCACACATGCACACACCCACGCAATCTGCAGCACACGTGCACACACCGGGCACTCTGCAGCACACATGCACACACCCACGCAATCTGCAGCACACGTGCACACGCCGGGCACTCTGCAGCACACATGCACACACCCACACAATCTGCAGCACACGTGCACACGCCGGGCACTCTGCAGCACACATGCACACACCCACACAATCTGCAGCACACGTGCACATGCTGGGCACTCTGCAGCACACATGCACATACCCACGCAATCTGCAGCACACGTGCACACGCCGGGCACTCTACAGCACACATGCACACACCCACGCAATTTGCAGCACACGTGCACACACTGGGCACTCTGCAGCACACATGCACATACCCATGCAATCTGCAGCACACATGCACACGCCGGGCACTCTACAGCACACATGCACACACCCACACAATCTGCAGCACACATGCACACGCCGGGCACTCTACAGCACACATGCACACACCCACGCAATCTGCAGCACACGTGCACACACTGGCCTCTGCAACACACAAGCACACACCTACGCAATCTGCAGCACGCAGGCACACACCAGGCACTCTACAGCACATGTGTACATGCCCACACAGTCTGCAGCACACGTGCACATGCCCACATGGTCTGCCTCAGTGAGGCTCAGATCTCATAAACCGGAAGACCTTTGGGTTTAAAGTCGGCACGCATTTGTACATTTGGCAGAAACAAGAATCCTGAGTTCTGTGAAAGTAAGAAACTGGGCTGAGCTGGTAGATGTGCGCTTGTAGGTCCCTGACGTGTCTGCTCCCTCTCCTCGGCCCAAGGCCTGGACACAGCTGGCAGCTGCTCTGCCCACACGCACTCTGCCCGTCCAGGTTCACACTTCGTCAGAGTCCTGCGCACATACACTGCAGCCCCCTCATCAAAGCAGTCATCTGGTTGTAGCACCCCCAAAGGCGCTTCCCAGAATTGGGTGGTGCAGGCACACCAGGCCAGGAGACAGCACGCACTCTGTCCTTGAGGCACACGGGACTCATGAACAGTCGAAGGCTACGTGAGGCCTGCTGTGAACAGGCCTGGTTCATGACTCACCTGGCTTGCTCAGTGCCTCATCCCAGACTCTCGGTCTGCAGGCAGCTTCCCTGGGGCAGCTGAGTGGCCCCACTGGGAGCCGATCTGAGGAAGGGGTACAGGTGGGACCCCTGAGTGGAGCACGTGGCCTGCCCCAGCCACCGTGGAATCAGGCAGAGGCAGGGCCAGGGCCTGACGGTGCCACCTTCTTCATGCCGGGCAATTCAGACGGCGGCCCTGGAGAAGGTAGCCGTGGTCAGCTCTGGGCTGCTGACCACATCTAGACGTGAGGGTGGGGGAGGACTGGGCCTGGATTTGGGCATCGGAGAAGTAGGAGGACGCGTCTCCGGGGATGGTCCAGTGTCAGCCTTTCAGCTCCCGCAGAACAGGTCATTCAGGATGCCTCTCCTGGATCCCATTCCTCTTACTTCCTGGCCATCTCTCCTGTGTCAATTGAGCCTTTGCCCCAAATCCCAAAGCACAGCTGTCCCGGTGCCCATCGGGGAGGACTCTGCCCCCGGCCGAGGCTGGCCCGCTCCTCCTCGTGGACTGCAGGTTTGCTGTGTGACTCGCGTGTGATCCGAGTTTCCGGATGCTGGATCACATCAGCACTTCTGCACTAACTCAGACCGTATTTAGAGCGTTCCTGTCGACAAGTCAGTGACCCTGTGAGGCTGGTGGGAATGAGCCAGTGCGTGCCGGGGAAGGGAGCAGACCCCTGGAGTCGCCGGGCCGGCTGGGGGCTTCTGCCAGTGGGATGCAGGACACGGGAGCCCAGCCCAGACCTTCGCTGAGTCACGCTGTTCCCAGGAGCTGAGCTCTGCTGCAGGTACCGGCAACAGGACAGAGCCTTCTCCCACTGCAGGCCGGAGGAGCCCGTTTTATTTTCAGTTTCCTTAGGATGTTACCTGTGTGATTAGCTATTCAGAGGTGTCTCACGTGTAACTGCTGTGCCGTTAAAACTGATTTCACCGTTTCTAACTTCCTTGGCTTGCACCGTCCTGCACATCACACACACGGGAGCCCTGTGGTATTTCCTCAGGGAGTGTTTCCTCTACAAACAGCACTACACATTTTTAAACAAGAATCATGTCTCTTCACAAAAGCATGTTGCACCAAAATGCCAAACAGAAATCGGTCGGTAGCTGGCAATACTTTTTTGGGTGCCAAATGGCAACAATTCGGCGACCGTGAGAAGGGTGTCCTCAGGGTTTCGCCATCAGTACTGTTTAAATGAAAACAAAATCATCGACACAGTTAAAATGTATTGGCTGTGGATTAACTTGTTTTCTGAGAAAAAAAGTGGCACATGGACCAGCTCCGTCCTCCCCATGAGTGGGTGTCTGCTCATGTGAAGCCAGGAGAGCCGGGAGGAGCCCCTCCGCAGGACTGCCCAGCCCCACCCCAAAACCTTGTGCTGTTCAGGTGCAGGGATGGAACTTACCCCACATCTAGGCTTGCCTGTGCCTCAGTGTGAGTGTGATAGAACGGCAGCCCACATTTACACAGCTGGTATATGGGGCCCCTGCCCAGGACAGGGCCACCAGACTGCCTGACATGCCTGCCGCTCTGCTATGGGACAGCACGGGGAGACCACCAGGAGCTCACCCTGTGCCAGGGACTCCCCTGCACCTTTTTTCTTTCTCAGTTAACTCAGATCATGCCAGTCACAGGACAGGGGACTTCAGTGTGGATTCTTCAATGCCAGCCTTGGACTGTCCTGTGCACTTGTTTTGAGTTATGTCTTTAGAGTTTCTGAATTCTCTCTTTCATTTCAGGATCTGGAATCTCTTGTCACCTATATCCAGAGCACGCTCTCTGCCCTGTACCCACCTTTTGAGGCCACGGCAGCCACGGTGCTCTGGCAGCTGTTGAGCGTGGCCGAGAGGTGCCACAGTGGGGACCGGCTGCACTGCCTCACCAGCTTCCTGCTCCCAACCAAGAGGACCCTGCAGCACCTGCAGCAGGAAGCCTGTGTGAGTACCTCCCCTGTGTGAGTACCTCCCCTGTGTGAGTACCTCCCCTGTGTGAGTACCTCCCCTGTGTGAGTTCCTCCCTGTGTGAGTACCTCCCCTGTAGCTCTGCGATTGCCCAACCTGAAGGAACTTGCTCTTTCCCTGGCAGGGCAAGAACTGGGCCCATCAGGGCACTGGCTCAGTACCTTCCTCTGACTTCTGGCTCCTCCCTGCTCTTCTTAAATGAAGGCTCAAATAAGGCTGCATGTCCCAGAAACAAGGGTTTCTTGAGCTTGCCAGGGTGTGTGGAGCCCTCTCTGTCCCCCAACACCAGTAAAGTTTCACTGCACTCTTAAGGAAGGAAACAAGTCATTCTCCAGAGCGAGCAACTCAGAGCTAAGTTACTACAGCAGTCACAGTGCAGGCCCACCTGGAAGGGATTGCAGTAAGCACCTCAGAACTAGGTCACTGCAGCAGTCACAGTGCAGGCCCACCTGGAAGGGATTGCAGTAATGCACCTCAGAACTAGGTTCACTGCAGCAGTCACAGTGCAGGCCCACCTGGAAGAGATTGCAGTAAGCACCTCAGAACTAGGTCACTGCAGCAGTCACAGTGCAGGCCCACCTGGAAGGGATTGCAGTAAGCACCTCAGAACTAGGTCACTGCAGCAGTCACAGTGCAGGCCCACCTGGAAGGGATTGCAGTAAGCACCTCAGAACTAGGTCACTGCAGCAGTCACAGTGCAGGCCCACCTGGAAGGGATTGCAGTAAGCACCTCAGAACTAGGTTACTGCAGCAGTCACAGTGCAGGCCCACCTGGAAGGGATTGCAGCATGCACCTGGGAGCTAGGTCACTGCAGCAGTCACAGTGTAGGCCCACGTGGAAGAGACTTAGTGAGGTCCTTGGAACTAGGTCACTGTGGCAGTCACGATGCTGGCTTGGCATTCAAAATGACTTTCTCATTAAGATTAATCATTTTTGGATTTTGATTTAACATAAGAGATGTCCAGCTCTTCCTTTGGCCTGAATGCTTAGATGCCATTGCAGGGTTATTACTTAGCCTAATTTCAATATTACCGTGTCTGAGGGAATAGGGAGGCCCAAGGGAAGGGAAAGAGATGGAGGAATCGCCAAGTCAGTAGGGCAGTCCAGACACTCACAACGTTTATTAATTAAGTTTGCTGTCCTGTATTAGCATGGTTCATGGCACCCAAAACCATTACAATAGTGGTGTTAAAGGTCTCTGATTATAGTTCACCATCACTGATATAATTATAATGAAAGAGTCTGGAATATTGTGAGAATTCCTAATGTTATACTGAGACACAGATTTGTCACAAGTCATCAGTACATGAAAAATGCAGTATCTGCAAAGCTCAGTCAGCTGGAACACTGTAAAACAAGATACCTCTGTAGGTACAGGTAAGTCCCGCTCGATGAATTTCTTGTGTGTTTACGCTGTCGGTTGTTCTCGAGGCCGGGCTAAAATGTCAGTGAGAGCCAGGTTGTGGGTATGTCGCAGTGAGCTGCCGGAGCGCACCTGGCTGGGTCCTAAAAAGCACAGCCTCCGTTGGTCAGCACCGCCGAGCCCTCCGATGAAGTTGAATTAGGGCATTGTTTTTAGACTGTGGCTGGGCCACATTGGCTTATTAGACTCATTGAATGTCTTTGGTTAGAATGACAGGGCTGGGGAGGGGCAGGCACGACCTCGGTTTGATTCCTTGCGTGAGGTCATCTCTTCAGGAGATGTTTTCGTCTGTGAGCAGGTACCTGGTGCCCGTTTCACAGATGTTGACTAATATGAGGAAGGAACAGGTGCCTGGCAGGAGACTGAGTGACAGCACGGGAGCCACGCTGCTTTGGTTAGATCTGAGAGCTCCTGGCTGCTTTCAAAGGCCTGCCCGTGTCACCTTCATCCTACACAGTTTATTTTTCCTCTGATTCTAACATAAACCATCTCTCTCCCCACCTATAAAACTGCTCGTCTTCTGGAAAAGTCACGTGAATGATGGTACTTTAATGTGGATGCATATTTACTAGTATTTAAAAGCACAACACACAACTTAGGGACAGTCTACTTGATATTTATATTTTTTCTTTTGAATGAAAAAAATTTGTTCATCTCTGTAACAGGAGAAAAATGCATTTACCTTGACTACTACAACATATTTTAGTTAATATAAATTCAATTTGTGTTTTATTTAACATGTTCTAGTTAACATAAATTCAATTCCGTTTTTATTCGTTTATCCACTATTATGAAAATACGTGGTTGGGAAATATATTAATATTTCCATGAGATAAATTGTCATGGAAAACTTCAGTGATTACTGTGGCCTGACCCTCAGTAAATAAATGACATGTTTAATCACTTAACAACTTATTTGTCACTTTATTTCATCACAGTTTGGACAAAACTGTGTCTGGAGAAGTTTAGGGAAAAGGGCCAGGTGTGGCAGCTCACGCCTGTAATCCCAGCACTTTGGGAGGCTGAGGCGGGAGGATCAGCTGAGATCAGGAGTTCAAGACCAGCCTGGCCAACACGGTGAAACCACGTCTCTACCAAAAATACAAAAACTAGCTGGGTGTGGTAGCGGGCGCCTACAGTCCCACCTACTCAAGAGGCTGAGGCAGGAGAATCACTTGAACCCAGGAGGCAGAGGTTGCTGTGAGCTGAGATTGTGCCACTGCACTCCAGCCTGGGTGACAGAGCGAGACTGTCTAAAAAAAAAAAAAAATGTAGGGAAAAGTAATCAGAAATATAGAAATAGGATATTTCCATAAAAGAGAGACAGAAAGGAGCTGGGAATTAGAATTAAAAAAATGAAATCAATCAAATAGAAATCAGAGCAGGAGGAGGGAGTAAACATAACGAAGCCATGGGAAGTGAGGAGCTCATCGTCGTAACACGGGCCTAAAAATTCAAGCCAGAGGATCACTGGTGGAGCAATGTTCATAACAAAGTATCGTAGCAGGCAAAGTGCATTGTGGATCTGAATGAGATCATTCAGCAATACTGCTAGTAACAGACAGCCAGGAATACGTCATCTGTGAACCTCTAACAGCATAGCCTGAAAATGTGTGACACGTTAAGTGGACAGAATTGCAGGGAGAAATCTAAAATGACAGTGGGAGATTCTGCCTCTCTCAAAAGCAGAGGGGGTGAGCAGACCACACACTGCTTGGAATGTACTTTTATTTATTATTTTATTTTATTTTGAGATAGAGTCTTATTCTGTTGCCAGGCGCCAGGCTGGAGTGCAGTAGTGCGACCTTGGCTCACTGCAACCTCCGCCTCCCAGGTTCAAGCAATTCTCCTGCCTCACCCTCCCAGGTAGCTGGGACTACAGGTGCATACCACCATGCCCAGCTAATTTTTTTGTATTTTTAGTAGAGGCGGGGCTTTGCCATGTTGGCCAGGATGGTCTCGATCTCTTGACCTCGTGATCCGCCTGCCTCAGCCTCCCAAAGTGCTGGGATTACAGGCTTGAGCCACCGCGCCTGACCGGAATGTATGTGTAAACAGGCGAACTCTCTTCCACTAAGTGGCATACGTAGAGTGCTGAGCCCAGTAACTATGGAATCCATGTCCTTCCAGCTATGCATGGAACACTTCCCAAAGCTAACCAAAATCTTACAAAATTCTTGTCCATTTATAAACATTTATCTCAAGGGTGTACAATTAGAGAATATTGGAGAGAACAACGCATTCTCCTCCTCCTCTTCTTTTTTTTTGAAACAGGGTCTCACTGTGTCACCCAGGCTGGAGTGTAGTGGCAGGATCACGGCTCACTGCAGCCTTGACCTCCTGGGCTCAGGTTATCCTCCTGCCTCAGTGTCCAGAGTAGCTAAGACTACAGGTGTGCATCACCACACCTGGCAAATTATTTTATTTTTAAATGTTTTTGTAGAGACGGAGTTTCACTGTTTCCAGGCTGGTCTCAAACTCCTGGGCTCAGGTGATCCTCCTGCCTCGGCCTCCCAAGGCACTGGAATTACAGGTGTGCACTACCATGCCCAGCCTACATTCTTCTTAAGTGTACGTGTACACTTATCAGAATCAATCCTTATCCACAAAGTGTCAACAAATACCAGAGACGTAGATAAAGGCCACAATGCAGTAAAGCTAGAAATCAACAAGAAACCCTTAGGTTCGGAAAATGTTTCAACCCGTTTATGTCTAACATCCCGTTATTGAAATGCTCGGTTTGTAGGAGTTACTTATATTCTACTGCTGAAAGCCATCTCCAAGGTCTGATTTTTCACACACAAAACATTTGCAGCCTCCAGAATAAATGGGTTCGTGTACTGCTAAATAAAAGATGACAAAACCAGCAAGAAAACTGTCAAAATGTTCAGAGCCGAAGAACAGATGTGTCCTGTTTCCAGTTACAATGTGGAGGAACATGAAGACCTTTTCCAGCAAAGCAGTAAGAATCCCCTAGAGAAGCCTGCACAACTGCACCTTCCTTTAAAGCCGTTCGAGAGGCAGGGACATGAAAAACGCCTGAAAGAACCAAACTATGGAGTGACAGTGCCTCCCTAAATGGGTAAATAACAGAAGCCACTTTCACGCTGGGGGCTGGTCCCTGAGGCTGGAAGAGGATGGAGCAGGAGCAAGCCTGTCAGAGAAGGACCTTCTTTGCTAAGAAAAGGAAAAATCAGCAAAATTTAGGAAACCTCTGTGCTGACAGATAAGAATCTGGAAAAGCCTCGAATGCAGGATAATCTTCTCTAAGTAATTCTCTTATAGGGAATTTTGCTGAGTAAATGGAAATTGAAGGGTGGAACTAGAAAGCAAAAAGAGATCTCAGAATCTTACAGTCACATGGGGTTGGTACATTCACTTGGTGATGCCCGTACTCCCAGCACCTTGCCGAGGTGAGCCGCGTTCGCGTGGTGATGCCCGTTCTCCCAGCACCTTGCCGAGGTGAGCCGCGTTTGCGTGGTGATGCCCGTTCTCCCAGCACCTTGCCGAGGTGAGCCGCGTTTGCGTGGTGATGCCCGTACTCCCAGCACC